GAGAAGAAAAATCGGAATGAATGTCAAAAAATCATCTCAAGGACGAAAAAGTAAACTTTGAATGTGTTGTATGCAAAAAATAATCATATTTCGAGATTTATGAGCAACATTTAAGCAGTCAATTCATGGTCATTGTCTTTCAGAGAGGGAGGGGCACATTAATAATGATTTGTTTTTATTTTTAATTCACGCGAAAAAGCAGAAGTGTTTAGAGCTGTCGATGTAGCTACCAATGTTATTGTTGATGCTGGCTATCCATCACGCATGTGTATTCATCTGCTTTCTTTCGGAGGATGAAAATGGCTCTAGGAGAAGTTTTGACGAGTTAAGTAAATTACAATTTTTTTTTTGAAAGAAAATGATTTGCGGACTACAGGCGATGCAAAACATTTTCGTTCGAAAGCTTTAACCATTTTGTTTCAGAAGAGACTTACTTTTTACTATTTCTAATATCTTTCCTAAGTTAGCATTATAATCAATCAAGACCGTAATGTATCTATCCAGTATGTAATCCCATCGTACCGTGGTAGTGCGTAACCATGGTTCCACAAATTTCTGACGTTTAAAATTCCACTCTTCTACTTTTTATACCTAACTACGTACCTACGTTTCTATGGATATTCGTCTAGGTATGCATTACACCCAGGACGTAACTGGATTGAAGCCTTCAGTAAGAATCTTTGGATATTATGGTGTAATCATCTTTTTTCAAACCAGCTCACATTAGACTCTCTAGAGATGGATAGAGCGAATCACATAATTGAGGACTAAATGCCTGTGACTTCACAGCAGAAGGTCATTCAAAAGAGCAGATGTAATAGTATCACTTTTGGACATCTTATATGTATAATTTCGCAGCGTCATACTTTCTTAATAGAAGTATTAACAATTGAGTTAATGTATTTCAGCTAGAAATGCTCTATACAACATTGTAAATAAATCGGTAGCCCTGAACATACACAAAACTGACATTTTTCTTAAGTTGGCTATGCTATGAGACAGGAAATAATAAACTTAAGTGACGACAAATTGACGAAAAATGCATAAAGGCTGTGTATTTGACTTTTGTAGCCTTCCACTTACACTGCACTTACACACTATTTCGTTTTCTAAGACTAGAAAAAAATAACTCCAAGATGTTGTAGAAGTGTTTAGCAAACTCCTGGTATAAATTTTTTTTTGAATACAACCCAGACACACCAGAGGAGATCAATGCGCTTATGAGGTGGTCGCAGAATGAGACAGTAGCATAGAAGCGATGGTTGAAGTCGCATTAAGCTGTAGTTTCTCATTTTCCTGAGCAAATCTCGAGTTTAGACGTATCTATGATGGAAGAAGCAATTATAACACATTCCTCCTTTTGCATTTCATGTATCAAGTGTTTCTAATCATTTTACTGTTGAAAATAAAACTA